TAATTAACAAGAAAGATCGGGGTGGAAAGAGAAAGCAGCCCTGAGGCTGGCACACTCAGGAGGGACGCAGCTCATGGCCAAAGATGGCCACAGAAGCAAAGGAAAGTTACTAAATTCAGTTTGTGCTGATCCTAAAAATTCAAAGTTCACCTCTCAAGCGCCTGGTGCTCTTTTTCTGACTATTTCCCCTAAAGTCAAATTGTCAGGGGTTAGCACAGCTAGTTAACACATCATAGATCAGAGATCCCCAAAGGATGAAAAAATATTAAGAGCAATGTTTATGGTTTGTTTTTTTTAACTGCAAATAAGCTGTGCCTGTAAGGAGTGGTTAGCTACAGTATCCATGACATGTGGCTGGATTTCCAGACCAAAACGATCCCAGTATCCCTCATGGCAGGGAGATGACTCCTCTTTAGAGACTACTAGAACACCTCAGAGCACCCCACGGGAGGATCTAGGCGGCTGCTGCTGTACTCAGGAAGGGAAGACAGTTGCTTATATGGGTGAGCAACTTGTTTTGCAAACTTGCTCCGGGACTCACTTCACTTCTGAGGGCAATAAGGGAAGGCTGCTCTCCTGCCACACTCTTTTGAGACAAATGATTTTAATTAAAACACTGTGGTGGTGATAGCTGAGGGCTCTTCTTTATAAACTTCATCTGCATTTTCTTAAGAAAATAGCAAAGGTTTTCACTTCATAGAAGGGGATTTGCATTCTCCAATTATCTCCAACTTGAAGGCACCAGAGTCAATAGAAAGGGGGAAAGGAACGTTTACTGACACAGCAGTAAACCCAACTAGAGTAATGAAAGCAGCTTCCAGAGGTCTAAAACCCGGTTGCTCTTCACCTGCGTAGACAATCAGCTGCCTCCCAGCAGGGTAGGAACCCACTCTAGTCCAATAATTTACATAAGAAATTAGCAACCGAAATTTGCCTATGAATGGCAGCCGGTCAGATGTTAAGTATCTGCTTATCTAAATTGCCTCTAAAAATAACTTCACGGCTTTAAGCCTTAGGCAAACAGAGGATTCCCCAGGAACCTGAAGTTGGCATTCTCAAACAAGGCCGCCGCCATTCTAGTGCGCAGTTTCATTGCTGCGTTGTGAGCACGACTTCAGGGCTGCTTTCCATTTGAGCAGGAAGATTCTTAGATCTCCCAGTGAGCAGAACTGATAACACCACGTGAAACCTCAAATACCAAGCTATAAACGACTTTTTCATTTTAAACGCCGTCTCAGGGGAGAGTTAAGCACAGGACATGGACAACGGCCAGTAGTTATGAGAACCGGAAGCAGCAGACGTAGGTCTTGACCCCTTTACTCATATTATCGCTCCTCCCTCACTTCGATTGTACTGCAGGAGGTCAGACTGATGAGTTGGTTATAGATCTCTGCATCTGTTTCCATCTGTTTCTGAAAGAGGGTTCTAGCTTCTCTGGGGACATGAATTGTAGGCTGTGTATCTTTTGCCTTATGTCTGGTATCCACTTATGAGTGAGTACATACTATATTTGTCTTTCTGGGTCTGGGCTACCTCACCGAGGATTTTTTTTTCTAGTTCTGTCTATTTGCCCGCAAATTTAAAGATGTCATTGTTTCTTACCACTGAGTAGTCCTCCATTGTGTAAATACACCACATTTTCTTTATTCATTTTTTGGTTGAGGGGCATCTAGGTTGTTTCCAAGATCTGGCTATTATGATAATGCTGCTATGAACATAGTTGAACAAATGTCTTTGTGATGTGAGTGTGCCTCATTTGGGTATATGCCCAAAAGTGGTATTGCGGGGTCTTGAGGTAGATGGATTCCTAATTTTCTGAGAAATTGCCACTGATTTCCACAGTGGCGGTAGAAGTTTGTAGTTCCACCAGCAATGGAGGAGTGTTCCCCTTTCTCCACATCCTCTACAGCATCACTAACTCCACCCTGTCAACTGGGGAATCAGCATAGGACTGAACTAGGACCCTTGAATACAGGTGATAGTGGTGAGGCTTGGGCAGTATATGAGGCCAATGGCAGTGGAACCAAGATCTAACTCTAATGCATAGACTGATTTAGTGGAGTCCATTCTCTATGGAGAGACAACTTGCCCAGCCTAGACATGGAGGTTGTGCACCTTGGTCCTGACTCAACGATGTGAGGGATAGACTTAGTTGACATCCTAGGGGAGGCCTGACCCTCTCTGAGGAGAGGATGGGAGGCGGGATGGGAGAAGAAGAGGAGAGCAGGGGGAGAGGAAGGAGGGGGAACTGGGATCGGAATATAAAAAATAATAAATAATGAAATAATGAGATAAAATAAAGCAAAATCACCATTGCCCTTTTGGGGCTGAGGTGAAAGGGCCACCTCAAATTCTATAGCTACAGTGTGAGTTAAAGGTCAGCCTGGGTTAGAGTGAGATCCTGGCATAAATAGACAAAACAGATCCTAACTTCGTGGGGGTTTCCATTGCTATTGCTTTGTTTGCTTGTATTCTTTGAGTCAGGGTCTCACTGTGCAGCTGTGTCTGTCCTGGAAGTCACTGTGTATGTCAAGGTATCCTCAAACTCACCGAGATCCACCCCCCTCTGCCTCCCAAGTGCTGGGATTAAAGATATCTTGTTGTTTTCAGGATATCTTGGTAGCTACAAAATAACTTTTCAAAATACCTGGTTATAAATAACGCCATTACCAAATTGGAAACACACCCCCAAGTACAGAAGGACAGGGAAAACTCTCTCCCACACTTTGGAAAAAAATTTTGTCATTTCACAAATCATCCCCTGAAGCTTTTACTCTGGTTCTGTTTAATTATTCACATGTAATTAGATTCTCAACCAGATACCACCACTTTAAGCACTGTTCAATGTCGTTTGTTACTTGATGAGGTGACTGCTCAGTTGAAGAAAAGATTTAACAAGAATAAATCAAGTAAGCAGCAACACAATGCTGTCACTATCGGCATCTCCATGGGTTTAAAGGCTTATGATACAACAGTAATGAGTAAACAGTGTACACTATAGTAAGTCTGGGAAAAGACTCAGTCATATGTGGAAGCAAATCCATAGGATGATGTGCTGTGGGCAGGCCTGACATGAAGAACACTAGTGCAGATCCCTTCCAGGGACACTTGTGAACTACTGGAGCATTATTCAGGTCTTTTTCCCTCTAGCTAGAGGATCTGAATCCTTCTGTGGGTTGCCAAATTCTTGGGGAAGTAGGAAATCAAAAGAAAATGAACTCCCAAACAAGGGCAACTATTTTTCTGGCTTCCCCTGGATAAGACTTTAATTTACATCAAATTACTCGTTCTCCAAGCTTTGTCAGGAAATTGTCCTGAGAGCTGGACCCTTCTTTTTCCTCCTCCCCCATGTCTCCTCAAGGTTTTCATGCTCTAATACCATGCAGGTTAATGTCAGTCAACCAGAATATAAAAACCACACCCACATACCAATTAAATGGGGATCAGAACACAGCAGCTAGGTAAAGGGAAGAAAATAGACTTTAAGTTCGGAAATCACTGAAACCACAAAACAATGAAAATGTTAGAAACCAGGATTTCCTTATTTAAAATGTGGTTCAAAGTGTGGCAGGAAATACAGCTGACACAAACGAGTAGAATGAGCTCATCAGCTGGCATGGTGGTGTACACCTTTAATCACAGCACTAGGGAGGCAGAGGCAGGCAAATAAATCTCTGCGAGTTGGAGGCCAGTAAGTTCTATGTAGTGAATTCCAGGTCAGCCCACACTACATGATACCCAGTCTCAAAAAACTGAGTGGGAAGAGGGGGGAGGAAGAGAGGGAGAATCTAATTACTTATATTTCTTGTATTATTTTTTTTAAAAAGGATTTATTCATTTGTTATGTATACAGTGTTCTGCTGCATGCATGCCTGCACATCAGAAGAGGGCACACGATCTCATTATAGATGGTTGTGAGCCACCATGTGGTTGCTGGGAATTGAACTCAGGACTTCTGGAAGAGCAGCCAGTGCTCTTAACTGCCGAGCCATCTCCCCAGCCCACATTTTTATGTTCTAGAACCAAATTTTATACTTATAATGTTTATAAAAGATTTATATTTTATCTCTATACTCAGTGAGTATAGCTGTAGGGACAGCAAGATGGCTAATTAGCCAAAGGTGCTTACCAGTAAGCATGACCCTGACATTCCCCAGGGTGGAAGGAGAGAACTTACTCCCGCAAGTTGTCCTTTGATCCATGTGTGCGCCATGGTTCATGAGCACCCACCCACGTGTGTAACACACACACACACACACACACACACACACACACACACACACACGACCTAAATGTAATACTGTTCTAGGTAGATGTGGAGTCAGGCCATCTGGATTTCTATTACTATCTTGGTGGTGACTAAAAGGGCAAGAAAGATGAAACATTGTTTTAATAAAAAGCTCATGAGAGAGTAAATTCTTACAGAACAGTGGAGAAGCCTTGACCTTTGTCTGAACTTGTGTTTGCACAGATGCTCTCACTGAATTGGTTTAACCGTGAACCTTAGTCTCCTTATCTACAAGAAGGGGTGGGACTTGTGGTTCCTGTAGACATCTGTTGTGAGCCCTTGAGTCCATAGGGGTGAGGATATTGTTGTGTGATATTTTGATCGCGTTCTGACAATAAAGTTTGCTTTGAATCAGAGGGCAGAGCTAGCTATTAGCTGACCAAAATTAACCATAGAGGTTTTGGAGGACTGAAGATAAAGAGACAGCAAGTAGTAGGGTGGGGTTTAGAGAGAGTCTCAACTCTTTTTAATGGAGAAATGACAGAAACAGGAGGTCACTGGTTGGTTCTCTGTCCATTCAGGTTTTTACCCCAATATCTGACTCCCAAGTTTTTATTGATAAAGAATAATTAGATAAACGCATCAGCATATAGAACTCATTCCTTCCAACAATGACTGGTGTCCAGTCTTGAAAACCACATGGAATGATTGGAAACAGGCCAAATGAAAATTACAATACAAAGGTGAAAAGAACTCAAAAGTGCAAACCTACCATCTGTAGTACAAGATCCTTCTGGGGCAGGTTTTTGTGAATAGGGAATTGGTGGGCTGTTTGAGTCGGACATTTCTTCTTCATCTTCATCATCTTCCATTTCATTAATTGCTACATTATTAGAAAAATCCAGGCTGCCATTCTGAGTGTAGCGGTGTACTAGATCTTTATCTAGGTCTTCCACTTTGGGTTTGACATCTGGGTAAGCACAGAAACCAATGCAAATTTAGTTTTTGAAAGGACGCTTATGGAAAAAAAGATTACAGGAGGAATCCTGAAAGATATTTTTTGAGGTGGGGGAGACTGGCATTTTTAGCATTTGAGTTCCCAGGATTTGGAGTTCCCACTTCTTTTGAAAGGGGATCTAAAAATGTACGCAATTAAGAAACTTACCTGCAGACGAGAAAGGGTGTTGATCCGGGTCCAAGTAAAGCTGGGAAAAGATTGGCCGTGGGACTACACTGCTACATCTGAGTGAGGCTTCTATGGAGTTGTGTAGAGCTTCTTCAAATCTAGCAGATTTCAGTTGCCCAGCGTATGAGTTCCCCATGGTCTGTACCAGCACATCCCAAAGAAAAAGAGGAAGGGAAAAATTGCGTTGATATTTATGTCCTAAAACTACATGTATGGGGGCTAGAGAGATGGCTTAGCTGTTAAAGGGCACTGGGTGCTCTTGCAGAGGACCCAGCTTTATTTCCCAGCACCCACATGGTGGCTCATGACCATCTGTAGCTCCAGCTCTGAGGATGTGATGCCCTCTTTTGGTCTCTATGGGTATTGCACACACATTCGTGCAGGTAAAATACTCATACACAAAATAAAAATAGTCAAAAGAAAATTTAAGTGTATGTCTGGCAAATATAATCTATATCCATATAGTTATGTGAAATGTATGAAATATTTTCTTTTTTTTGTTTTGTTTTCCGAGACAGGGTTTCTCTGTGTAGATCTGGCTGTCCTGGAACTAGCTCTTGTAGACCAGGCTGGCCTTGAACTCACAGAGACCCTCCTGCCTCTGCCTCCTGAGTGCTGGGATTAAAGACATGCACCACCACTGCCGTCGTGAAATACATTCTTAATCTATCCGTCAAAACGGTTCAGTGGGTAAAGCTGGTTTCTGCCACAGGAAAGAACCAAGGAACCAAGTTGTCCTCAGACTTCCGCATGTATACTGTGTCATACACATGGCAGCACACAGTGCAAACGCATGTAAAAGCACACACAGAAAAAGAAAAGCGTCTACATTAAAGAAAGGGAAATCTAGTGCAAGTCATCTGTTACATTGCTTGACAGTCAAGGCCTACCTGAGAGCCCCTCCAGAAGACCTCATGACCCAGCCTCTCCCACCAGTCAGGCAACATTACCCTGTCAATTATGAAGCCTAGCCTGCTGAACAATGGGAACACACCTTCCTCTCACAGCTGGGCTACCACACCCTCAGATCAGCTCTTCCCTCAGCATCTGAGTAAATATTTAATCACTGCTCCCTCTAAGACCTAGGGGAGGAAAGAACTCCTGGAGAAACAAAATGAAAGTCTCATGATAATGTGCTTAATTAACCAACCCCTGAAAGCAAGCTCTGTGTCACTTATCCAAAGAACTTATTTCTGTGATGCTACCATTCATCCATATAAAAAGCATTGTTTTGCCCGGCGGTGGTGGCGCACGCCTTTAATCCCAGCACTTGGGAGGCAGAGGCAGGCGGATCTCTGTGAGTTCGAGGCCAGGCTGGACCGACAGCCTCCAAAACAATACAGAGAAACCCTGTCTCGTAAAAACAAAAAAACAAAAAAAAAGCATTGTTTCTTTGGTCTCACCTGAATGTCTTCCTTGTATCCTTCAGTCAAGTGAACAATAATAAGTTTGGCGCCACAGCCTACACATTCTTCTCATCATTAGTATTTGTGTAGTGCTCTTTAGTCACAAAAAAGTGATGTATAGTAATAATCACAATTTATTGAGTGCTAACTAATGGTTTGACCAATAAATTTCCAAATGGTCCAGGGGCCCTCATGACCCTTTCAGTGGTCCATGAAGTAAAAACATTTCAGGGCTGGGGGGATGGCTGAGGGGTTAAGAGCACTCTTGCAGAAGACCCAGGTTCAATTCCCAGCATCCACATGATGGCTTACAACCATCTGTAACTCCAGCTCCAGGGGCTCTGACACCCTCTTCTGGCAGGCACACATGTGGTATGCAGACAAAATACCCAGACATATAAGATAAAATGAACACTAAATGTTTTCAAACTATTACTGGAGAATGTGTTTGCCCAACCTAACAAAAATTACTAAAAAGGAAAAATGTTATTTTTCACACACACACACACACACTTGTTAATATAGTGAACTGTTGGTTATTAATTTTTGAAAATAAATACAAAGTTGGTCAGTTTTAGTTTCCATAACCTATCTAGATAGAACCTCGGTGGGGTCCTCAATAGCTCTCAGGAATACAAAAAGTGCTGAGATAAAAAGTCAAGAAGTATTGGGCTAGACAGCAGACTGAGTGCTATATAAAAATTACTTAGGCCGGGCGGTGGTGGCGCACACCTTTAATCCCAGCACTCGGGAAGCAGAGGCAGGCAGATCTCTGTGAATTCGAGACGAGTCTAGTCTACAAAGCAGTTCCAGGACAGGCTCCAAAACAATATAGAGAAACCCTGTCTCGAAAAACAAACAAAAACAAAAAAAATCACTTCGTCCACCAGGAGGTGGTGGTGCACCCCTTTAGTCCTAGCTCTCGGTAGGCAGAGGCAGGCAGATCTCATGAGCTTGAGGCCAGCCTGGTCTACAGAGTGAGTTCCAGGACAGCCAAGGCTACACAAAGAAACTCTGTCCCAAAAAAAAAAAAAATGCTTACTCTTCAGGGTGCTGAAGGAAGTGTGACCTCTTTTCAGGTCACAAACAGGCATCTAATAATGCTATCGATCCAGAAACATCTAAAACTTGCTAAGTAATGAACCAAATTGACTGCTAAGTAATGAACGTTTTTAAACGTTTTAACTGCTGTACTTTCTTATTTAGATGAAGCTGGTCTCAAAAAAAAAAAACTTTAAATACAATGATTACTTTCTCCAAGCCCTAACTTCCTCCCCTATATAAGAAGTTACTTATGATCCGAAGATAATTTCCTAGCCAAAAAGAGTTATTTTAGTGCAGATAAAATTACCTAAACATGAGCTCAGTTCAGAGCACTTAAGTTAGGGTCTCAGCGTACTCCTTGGGAGGTTCTCAATGACAGCAAATCTAGCTCTAGGGGGAGTGATGCTCTTCTGGCCTCCCCCAGACCAGTATCTCTCCATTATGTAGCTCTGGCTCCTGGAACTCACTGTGTAGACCAGGCTGGCTTCAAACTCCCAGAGATCCACCTGCCTCTGCCCCCCAAGTGCTAGGATTAAAGGTGTGCACCGCCACACCCAGCTTCTCTCATTTCAAGATAGATAAGTTTGGTACTATTTTAGTTCCATTTCCTCCATTAAGGAGAGAGACGGCTTTTATTCTCATCTGTGATGACAACTCAGATAGACTTCTTATGGGGAGTACCTGAAGAATGAACTGGGAAGTACATTATGGGTAGGAAAGGCAGCCATAATCCATTGTGCCAACTCGGAGTCCAGAAGGGTGATGCACAACACAATCCCAGCGTCTCTCAGATTTCAAGAGCTCCACAGCACCCTGAGCTGTCCCTGAGCTGCTGAAGGACAGCAGAGAAAGTACACAGCCCCTGTAACCACAGCAGTGTGCAGTGTGAGCTCCAGTGAGCCCGTGAACTTCCCAAACTTCTTACATACTCCTGTGATTTGGAGGAAAAGTCAGGCACTATTTGCCAACCTTCCTTTAAAAATTATTTTGGTTTCATATGTATAAATGTTTTATCTGCATGTGTGTCCATTCACCACATGTTTGCCTGGTGCCCCAGGCTGTCAGTTCTGGAGCTGAAGTTACAGATGGCTGTGAGCCACCCGGTGGGTGCTAGGAATCAGAACCAGGTCCTCTGAAAGAACAGTCAGTGCTCTTAACTGATAGGATAGCCACCTCTTTAGCCCCAAGAACCTCTTTTATAGTAGCTAATTAAAGAACAGTTACTATGGATTTAAAAAATGTTAATATCGCCGGGCGGTGGTGGCGCCCGCCTTTAATCCCAGCACTCGGGAGGCAGAGGCAGGCGGATCTCTGTGAGTTCGAGGCCAGGCTGGACCGACAGCCTCCAAAACAATACAGAGAAACCCTGTCTCGTAAAAACCAAAAAAAAAAAAAGTAGTTAATATCTATTAATTTTAATCAGTTTCATTTTTTACAAAGAGGATATACCTAAAACATGTAACATTTGACCAAAAGTTCGGTGCATATATGCTATCCAATTAAAAATGTTAAGTGGAACATAACCTACAGTCTGTCAAAAGAAAATTTTGTGAATCACTTGAGTTTTTGGCCAAGCCTTTATGGCATCATTATAAGTGCCTTAAACATTTAAATTGTCTAAAACTCAAAGAAATTTGTTTTTTAATAGCAACACTTGATCAAAACAAGATGGGTGCTGGGAGAGAAATGTGCTGTGTCCCTAGTCTATTTTGGTCTTAAGCCAACAGCTAATTTACCTTTCTTCTTTGCTAACAAGAGAAAACTACCAGGAACTAACACCGCGTCAGCTACAGGGATGTCTTACCCAGGGTCGATGGAGTAACTAAGGCCTTTCTCCAGAGCACAAAGTGTCTGGAACTCTCATCTCCTCTCAGCCCAACGCCAGTCTGACAAATTATCTGATGTTGCCTATCTTGGAAACCTACATTGTCCAGAAGGTATTTTCAGTGAAGTAATAAAAGTTACCTAATCTTTACATTGTCTTTAGTGTGCGTGTTTTGCCTGAATGAATGTATGTAGGCATTGGTGGTGCACGCCTTTAATCCTAGTACTCAGTAGGCAGAGGCAGGTGGATTTCTGTGAGTTCGAGGCCAGCCTGGTCTGCAAAACTACACAGAGAAACCCTGTCTCAAAACAACAACAAAACAAAACAAAAACAAAAACAAAAAATAACAACAAAAAAGGAGATGGATAAACACTTTGCAAAATTAGTCATTAAATCAAATGCAACGAAAAAGCAGACATGACATTGATTTCCGTATTCCAGACCTCTCTGGTACTAAGGGGTTATTTTTGTGATACTGAGGAACTGTCTAAGAAAGGGATGGCAGACAATGTGAGCCTTTCTGTACCACTAATTAACTCCTTGAAGTGCAGATGGAACCCAATAGAAAGCCTGCAACCACGGTTGGATGCTGCCTGCTCTGCCTTTTCCTTTTCCATAGAAAGGAAGGCTGGGAAGTGAGGGCAGTGTATTGTCTGGTAGCTGGCACAGGTGGTGAAGAAAAGAAAAGATGGGAACAGTTTCAGCTATTCTTCCAGACATCCTAATTTTTCTCTCCTGCAAATGCAAAGGAATATAGCATACTGCCAAGAACAAACAGGCCACGTCAAAAGATAAAGGAGGCCCCATGAATGGCTCCCACGGGCCAAAGGTCAGAGGAATGAAACATAAAACATAAACATTGAT